GGTGTGCATTGGCTGTGTTTGAGGAACAGCCTGGCAGCCCAGTTATTGGAGCAGAGTGAGAGTGGAGGAGTATGTGGGTGGGAGATGAGATCAAAGAGGCAGGAGTGGGGAAGAGTGGGTCAGTTTATGTACTGCCACACAGGCCATGGTAAATCTTTTCATCCTGAGAAGTCACTAGAAGGCTGTGAGCCTAGAGGTGCTGTGATCCAACTTATATTTTAAAAGGATCACCCTACTTGTTTTGTAGGAGGCAAGGTTGGAAGCAGAGAGGTTATTTAGTAGGCATTTGTAATAGTCTGCTTGAGATACAATGATGGCTCAGAGACCATGTGTGTTATCAGTGGCAGAGGAGAAAAGTGGTGGGAGTTGGAATCTTTTTTTTTTAAAGATGACCGGCAAGGGGATCCCAACCCTTGACTTAGTGTTGTCAGCACCACGCTCTCCCAAGTGGGCTAACCGACCATCTCTATATAATGATCCAAACCCGTGGCCTTGGTGTTATCAGCACCACACTCCCCCAAGTGAGCCACGGGCCAGCCCTGGAATCTTTTTTCAAGGGAGAGTTGGGAGGATTTAGTCTTGGAGTATAAGAGAAAAAAAGGAGTCATGCTTTTTGGAAGGAGCCATTGGAATAGTGGGCTTTGCAGTTACTGAGATGGAGAAAGAGTGGGTTTGGGGGTTGCAAAATCAAGGGCAGGTTTGCTTCTGTTAAGTTTGAGATGCTAATTGGACACAGCATAGACATCATATAGGCAGTTGAATATATAAGTTCAGGACTTGGGGATCAGATCAGGTTGGAGAATAATTTGGAGATACACAGCCTTGTGACCGGATGAGATGGCCCAAGGAGTGAACATAGATAAAGGCAAGGATAGGACCCTGGGAGCTCCCCAATGTCTGGAGGTCTACAGAATAAGGAAGGTATGGCAAGGAAATGTAGATTGGGCAGATGGCAGGATAAAGGGTGAACCTGTAGGAGGCAAAGTACCATGAAGATCTGATCGTGA